TGGCCACCTGTAGTGCTTCAATGATGTCTTGTTGCATAACACACGTTGTTGGGGGGGGGGGCAGAGTCTACCAGGAACGCTTTAGGGGGCCTGGGCAGTGACACTGGTCTGTGCGAAGGCCTTAAGGAGCGTCGACGTCGGCCTCACTTGCGCCACGAGAGGATTCCAGTGTCTGTGGTGCAATCGTTGAGCTAATCGTCGTCTCCGTTGGGCGTTGTTGGGACAAAGAGGCAACCACCGTCGCTGAGGAACAGATCCGCGAGGTTAACGTCTGGGAAACGTGTGCCTGTTGGTGCCTGTTTGCACGATGCTGGCTGGCTTCAGCCCTAGGGAACAGTGTTGGAGTATTTGGAGTGCAAGAACGACTCTATTCTGTGTACTGAATTGATTTATGCGGTTATATGGAGGCGTTCCCAAGTCTAAAACCGTGACTGGAAGACAGGTTGGGTGTCTGTGTGGATCATATGATCACTCTGTGTGTTTCCCATCGTGACTTCGCACCACTCCAGTTACTTTGTATCTACGGCTGAAGGAATAGCTGTCCAGCGACTGCAGTGACGGTGCAGGTGCTTCCACAGGCAGAACAATGCACGATTTAGGTGGAAGTCGCACCATTTCGGTACCACCGTCTTCTCTCCTTCTCTTAACCTTGACATATTTGCTGTGAGTGTTGTACGTTTCACAGATATTGCTCTATTGCAAATGTAAAGCGTTCGTGATGGGGTGATGTTGAAGAGCAACACTCAAAGCTAGGTCGGCACCTTGCATGTCTACATTGACCCAACGAAGAGACATTGTCACTACTTCATTGGCAGTAGAGTCCAGATTATACCTGTTCCCTAAGGTCACAATGGAGGTTAAGAGCCATGGCCATCTAGATAAGTTCATGCGAGAGAGAGGGAGAGAGGGAGAGAGAGTTACACGAATCCTCGAGCACACATTGCATATGCTACGTACTACGGCAGTCATTCCTTCCGCAGACAGATTCGTTAGCTATGAACCCAATTATATGCATATCATATCTACAGTATGATGCATGATGTTGAGAAGCACGAGGACCACTAGACCACAAGTCAGCGCTGACTAGTGGTCTAACTAGCGGTCATCGTGTTTCTCAACACATGATCGATGATCTACGTTAGAGAACAACTCAACTGAACTCTGAGTGGTGCAGGACGCACGCTAATATTTCCGTACCACTATGCTTTGGCAAGGCCACGAAACATTGAGGTGGCGGGTGTAGACGTTTGAGAGGTTGACGAAAGCGAGGATTTTTTTTTCGCGGAGGAAGAGAGGACATCCCTGAGCATCAATGTCATCCCCCGACCGAGAAATGTTCACCCGGAGGCGCTCTTGGGCGCTCGTAACAACAAACTCGTTGTAGACACCCCAAGGACGAGGGTAAGCAAGTTCCCTAAGAAACTTGATTTTCCCTAGCGTTGTTTCCAGGAAGTTATCCAGGAGCTCTCATTGGTTTATGAATGCCACCTGTGTCTGTCAGACATCCATTGCACGTTCCCACCGTAACAAACAGTGGACTCCATGTCTGGTTCACGATTCATGGCTAACGAACACGGGAAGTGTAAACACACTACCCGTCATAAATCCGCATGGATGATTTTTTGCATGTCTGTCTAGATTTCCATGTATACACACCATGGCCGGCCTACGGGCAGCCCTTGTGGGGCATGTGCGTGGGTGCCCACGACGCTAGTCGGACCATGGGCAGCCCATCAAGGTCATTTTATTTCCCCATGAGCAGCCCATGATCGCCGGTTGCGTCAGTGCCCGAGTGACCGTCATGGGTTGCCCCCATGGACTTCCAATGGGCAGTGCCCAATTCGGGGTACTGGGCACTGCCCGAGGGCTGCGAAAGTGCCAATGGGTGCCCCATGGGCAGCCCATGGGTGCCCCATGGGCAGCCCATGGGTAGCCCATGGGTTGCCCATGGTGGGAGTTCGCGTGAGTGCTCACCATGGGCTGCCCACGGGCGGCCCATTGCCCATGGGCAGCCCATGATGGGCACTTCATGGACTGCCCATGGGCAGTTCATGGGTGGCCCCATGAGGCATCCATGGGCGGCCGATGGGCTGCCCATGGGGCGCCCATGGGGCACTTGAAAAAACTGTCGGTAGTGTGGGAGATTGTGTTGTGCGGGGTCGACAACCCTCACTCCGCGCAAAGCGGATGGTCGCACCACGTTGTGTTACAATGGTCTCGCAACCTAGAGGCAGTTACACAGTGCTAAAAGCTGTCTCTGGAAGTGAAACCACCAGAAACTTAATCATGTCATTCGCAGCTGTCATCCGTATGCAAGGACGTAAGCACAAGATGCCGAACACCCTTAGCAGGATGCAGCGCACTCTCCATTCAGTTCGCCGAGTACCTCACGGCGCTTTTCACTTGGTGACATANACCAGAAACTTAATCATGTCATTCGCAGCTGTCATCCGTATGCAAGGACGTAAGCACAAGATGCCGAACACCCTTAGCAGGATGCAGCGCACTCTCCATTCAGTTCGCCGAGTACCTCACGGCGCTTTTCACTTGGTGACATAAGAGCCTGGTCCGGTGAGAACCCGGCGTGCTTCGTCCTGGCTTTGTAGGGATTTGACTGTATAACGACCGCGGCATGCACGACTATGAGTACACCCCACCCCCTCCCCATTATTGTTTGTGTTGTTTGTACAACCGGCCCACATCTTGGGGTGTACACAAACGAATAAACGAAAGGGCGGGGCCTCTTCCATTGCTGTTTTTGTGTGAGGCGACACCCCCACCGCATTTCAGATCTCTGGTTGTTGCATTGACTCCGGCAGAACATCTCGCTGTACATGCTTGGTGCGGGGCACACAGAGCGAGTAGGGATCGGCCGTTTCTCCACCCCGCGTTTCTGCTTGTGTATCGGACGGTGTGGGGGTCGTTCGCGTGTGGATCACTGTACTCGCCACGTACGACGTCGAGTTTGCGTCTTTTGTCGTGGAATATACTCCGGTTCAGAGATGCGACCGTACGGGCGACTGCCAAGACTTTGATCGAGGTTCGCCCCCGTAGGGTGGATAAGTCTTGACGTCATGTAGTCTGCGCCTTTTCCCGGTCGTATGAATGTGGCAGCTTTGGTTATGACGCGCGGGTCCTTGAGCCCGCCGTAAACGGTGACGATGCAGGGTTTACGTCATGCCTCACAGATGGAAGCCACATGGGAGTCTTGACTCGTGACGTTGATGTGCTGGCGCGCCTACAACGTACGCGCTCTTTTCTGCCATCGCTACGGTACGCGTGTAGCGATGCGCTCGGTGCTTGGTGTCGACGGACCTGATCCGTGGTCATGCATGGGCTGTGGGCACACGCGGACATCGCACATGAGAGGCCACCAGAAAAACATTTACCACCCCCTCGTCTGGCACACCGCCCTTCGCAAACTGTGTTGAGGCAGGCGACGCCGAGCGAAGCGACGGTGATGCAGTAAGGAACAGGCGATCCTGATAATTGAGAAAAAATGTTTTTTGTCGGCACCTCCAAAATGGCCGATATTTTTGTTGACGAGTAGACTTTACGGTAGACGAAACGACTGAAGCAGCATTGGTGTTCTAGTACTTCGCACGCATAATACGACAACAACATGTCGACGGTGGCATCCTACACTATGTAGAGTCTATCCTACGGACGTACGCGGTTGCTTGAGACTTTTAGCTTCGGGAGTCGCTTGCGGCACAGATGGGCGTTGACACTGGAGACGAGAGACAAAAAAAAGACACCCTGACACATCCATCCTGCGAGTAGCATGCAGCTTCTTGTTGTGGCTACAGTGGGGGCTCCGGTTTAGCGACCCCCTGTTTAGCGACATGCCCTGTTTAGCGACGCCCAAACTTCGTGACACCGCTGCACCCCGGTTTAGCGACCATGTGGTCATTAAACCGGTCGAAGCTTCAATAGCGAGTTATTGGACTCTTTTCATCAGGCAATAGCGACCTCGTTTCATTTTTTGCGAAGACCCCGCCTTCCTCCACACCCAAAGACACAACATAGCGTGACACGTATAGTCTACACACGCAACATGCCGTGCGCCGATGGGAGAATTGTGCGAACAGCCGGATGTTGCTCTGCTGGCACCCCAGGGGCATGTGTGCGATGGTGGCTGCGGTGGACGCCTTCACCGAATGTGTGAGGAGGTGGGGCATCGATCGATGCACCGCACCTGCCACGAGTGTGTATCCAAGACCATGCAGGCTTCCCCAACCCGTCTCGAATCAACCCAGACGCAAAGAAAGATAGAGATAGATGGAAAAATGGCGGTTTGGGGGTGGGGAAGTGATGGCACCGCCGCCCTGCTCGGAGCTTTCGTCGCATTTTGGATCGCCAGAAGAGTGCGCGGAGTCGTGTGGGTTAAGCGAGGAACTATGTTCAAGGCAAACTTGTTGTTCATCGAAGCACACTTCGCGAAACCAGCGCGACTGACGGACATATGTATGAGAAATAGTTTAAGATGATCGGCACACGGGACTGTAGCAGAATGAAGTCACAAGCAGCGCGAGGTTCTTTACCGCTTGGGCGTGGACGAACATTCTCCGTGCCATGGTGTTTTTTTTTTGTTTTTGTGGGACGCTGCCAAGACTATTTCCCCTTTCCCACCTTTCTTGTCCCCCCTCTCGGTGTTTGCCATCGGGATTGGGTTTTCGTCGCTTGGCAACGACGTTGTTGACCAAGCCAATTCACTTCGTGAACTCGGCAACCAGGTTACCGTTTTATTTTTTTTCCTCTGTTTTTTTGTTAGCGGTAAACATAATGGTGGTCGAGTAGATCATGCNGGTGTTTGCCATCGGGATTGGGTTTTCGTCGCTTGGCAACGACGTTGTTGACCAAGCCAATTCACTTCGTGAACTCGGCAACCAGGTTACCGTTTTTTTTTTTA